GAGAATTTGCTTATGAGTAAAGACTAGGCCATCGCCGATGGGCTTTGTATAATCGCCAACCCCTTGTCCCTCCGAGACCAGAGCCTGTCGCGCCCGGCCCGTTGCAATATCACCGAGGACGTCGGGGAAAATCCAAGGGAAGCTAATGAGCGGAAGCTCAGTGGTGTTCACTTCAACAATGGAAAGATCTTCTCTCTGTAGTGCCTCTTTGCGTCGAGCTTCAAGGGCTGCAGCTACCTGCTCCTGGGTAACACGGTACATGGCAATGACCAAGGCAGGGATATTTCCTCCCTGACGGCCGACTTTGTCGTAACACTGGTGGCGGAATCCACGGCGGAGTGTACCCACGATTCTGCCTAGGTCTTCCTGCATCTTGTAGTCTTTGATCACGAAACCGTGGCGGAGTACAAAGGTTGACCACACCTCAAACTCAGTGTTGATCTCATACTGAGCCATGATTTGTCGCATGTTCATGTCGAATTCCGCCTTGAGCTTGCGGGCGTATTCCATGTAGGTCTCACTTGCTGGAGCCAGCGGGGATTCCAGGATGCGAGAGTCGAAGGGCTTCTCTAGCTTGGGGACGAAGTCAGGAGTTACCACTGCGTCGTACAGTTGACCGAGAATTTTGGTCGACTTGTAAATGCTGGATGGTCTCTTGAATCGCTTCTCCATGAAATGGGGCCAGAACTTGGGATCCAAAGAGCGGGCCATTCTCGCATGCGCACCGCTCTTGTTATAGTCAACTGCATCAGAATGAAGCTGAGCAAGACGAATGCACTTTTCTTCCCACACGCCCTTCGGGAGTCTATCAGCCCAGGCTAAATGGGCATGTGCAATTCGAGGAAGGCAGTCATTCTTCATATAGGTGACGAAGAATGAAGTGACTTCGTCAACTGTCACATCATGGTCAAGGTCTGGGGCTTTGGAGCCCTTGTAGTCCATGCATTCGACGAACCATCTCGCAGGAATCAGATCGGGATCCCAAATAACGAGGTAGTCATCACCATCAAGATCACCCCCAGAGCACATGCTCGCAATGTCCTGGTCGCCGGTTTGAGGAAGCACAACCACGTCCCGGAGTCCTCGCAGCTCCGGTCTGTTTACCGCTCGAACCACGCGAATATCTCCAGGGTGAAGCGAAGGGTTGCGGGCGAGAATACAGAGACCTTCAACGACTTCGTACTCACCAGCCCCATCTAGCCGGCATATCTGGACAAAGATTTCGGGGAGAGCAGCCAGTTTCTCTGCGTAGGAGGCTCTTCTGTGCGGCAATGCGTTCTTAAAGTAGCCCTTTAAAACTCCTGTTTCATCCATGACACCGAGAAGGTTGGCCCCTTGGTCTATGGCAATCTTTGCTTTCTCCTTGAGATGCTTCAGATGCCAGGACTTCCAGAGCTCAAGCATGGTATTGGCAAACGGCTCCTCATTTTTTCGGAAGCCATCAGATACCATCTGAGCCAAGGCTAGGGTCGTTTGGTTTGGGTCGATGTACTTTTGGAGAAGGTTGGTTGCTTTCGAATCATTGCACATGGCTCGATGGAAGCTACCCAGCATGCTGTTGAGTTTGCTATGGAAGACTTTATCCTGGACACCCAGAGCAGAAAGCACGAGAATCAACTGGCGGTTCAAAGTCGCAAGAGAATACTGGGACCAACGAATGATCTCCAAACCGGCTTGATTGGTTTCGAACTTTTGCTGACTTGGTCGAATGTGTACCTCCTGAGGCACAGGATCTGGAGAGACGACCAGCATGCCTTTAGCTCCGCCAAGACGAAACTGGAAAGCCGAAGGGGGTTCTCCAGTGAGGGTTTTAATGTTGTGCTGGGATGTGACCATCTGGGCAAGGAATTTGGAAATCTTTCCAATACCGTCTGAGAACGTGAAGCCGTTACGAACAATGTCAGCACACGGAGCAGTTTGAACCGAAGATCCAGTGAAAGCTCGAGTGGTCGAAAAGCATTGTCCCAGTCTTGCAGCATATTTGGCCACATTTCGAATATGGTTGAATTGGCCCATCCAGGCCCGGATGGTTGCCGCTGAGACACCGGCATCCGGTGAAAAGAAGTATGCGCCATGCTCACGGAATTGAGAGTTGCCGAATGCTAGGAACTCGTAGCGGCGGTCTCCAATGGTGATACCGTTGGCCAGTGTCCTTTTGACACGGGTGTAGATTTCATCATTGGAATCGCCTAGTGAGGAGTTGATACGGCCCTCAGTTCTCTCATCTGTAAATCGAACCCGAAGAAAGCGCCCAGGGGCACCTTTAGTGGACCATTCGCGCACAACTCGATTTGAGATATCCACTGTTGGGGTATTGTAGTAAATTGTAGTCGGAGTGACTCGTGCTGTGTGCATGAAGCAACAGTAACTCGGAATCTTCGAGTCAATCACTCCTTTGAAGAATTTGAGGTCAAGGATCTCCATAGGATTAAGGTACTGTTTTTTCTCAGTTGCAACGAACTCTAGCAATCTGGTAGCTTGATCATCACCGAGATTCTTCAGTCTTTCTACAAATTCCCGGGCCATGGTGAACTCAGATAGGTATCCATGGGACAAACAAACCTCTAGTTGATACCGTACCTTGAAGGGGAGGTGTAGATAGTTCTGATCTCCCAAATCTTGCAGTAATGCGGAAGCCTTGTTGGACTTGGACTCAGAAAAGTCAATCCAATGCCACACTGGTACCGGTCGGTCTGGTTTCTCGACAAAGTGACTCCCATCTTTGATGGAGATGTTGTAGTCCTTGAAAATATCACCGACAAGCATCAAATAGTGACTGGTATCCTCGACACGGCGCGTATTGGGGTCCACGTCGGGTGCGAATGAGATCCTGAACATCTTCCATCGCCCTAGCACGAAATATTGGTAAGCGTACGCAATTATAATGGATGATGACGCTTACCCAAGTCAATGATGTGTCCCGTCTTTTTCAAACTTGTGGAGAGATTCTTTAGCGAGTTCGGGTTATGTGTGACGGAGGTCTGTCGATACCAACTATCCTCTTCTCTCCAGCTCAACGGCTCTTTCACTGTAGACTGAATGTCTTTGGCTTTTCGGTGCCAGATTGCGGCGGAGTCTAGGACGATCAAAAAGGAGTGTTCTCTTGTCGCTTTGTCGTATTGTTGGTAAATGTGGGTTAGTTGGAGAAATGTGATTTTGACACGATAGTCATGCTGCGTTACATCTGCAGTCTCCGACCCCCGAATGCCTACTTTGAAGTACAGGAGCAAGCACTTGCGCATGACATCCACAACACATCTGGGGAATGCTAAGTTGGTAAAGCTTTGCATAGAGTGAACAATGGACGGACCTAGCAGGACACCGATGTCGACTTGTACAGTTTTCAATTCCTTCAAAATAGCCATCAATATTTGAAAGTAGCCTCCTAGACATACATTCACTCACCAGTTCACTCGGGAGTCGAATATCTGGGCGGACTGGGCTTGGGATGGTCCCGTTCGAGTCACCACAGCAGATAGAGAGCGATATCACTGTAACACGGCCACTCCGGAGCTTCACGCCAAAAGAGCCGGTTTCCCAAAACTCTTCGTTTGGAGGGGGCCTATTCATTGTCAGCAAAATTTGTCTAAGCAACATGGCGGAGTGACAGAATGCCCACTTGAAACGAATGCGTCCTTTAGAATCAGGACGTCCTGATGCGTCCTCCCAAACGTCGATTGAAATCAGATTCCCATACTTGTTGAAAGCGTCGTAGATATCGTGGGTGTTCATCTCTCTTGGGATGTTCAACAGGTCGACCGCACAAGTCTTCCATGATCTCCAGGTGACCCAGTCTCGGACTGGCAAGGTATGATGAGGGCCAGGGGGGTCGGGGGAAACCAACCTCGGGTGGTTGGGCTTGGAGTGTTTCGTGTTGGGGATTTCTGGGCCTGCCATTTTATAGCTGATTTTGATAGAAGAAAGCAGTCAGTCACGAAGAAGCCAAGAAGAAGAAGAAGAAAGGCTGATGTGAAGGATGGGAATATATAGGAAGGAAGGAACCTCCAAGTTGGAAGGAAGGACACAAATACATGTAAGCACAGCATTAAAGTCTAAGAACAAAACAAGTGACGAGGGGAGACTGAAAGACTACATACAAGGAAAGAACGATGGAACGATGCTCTAAGAGTCTACATGGAACATCAGAAGGCACAAAAAAAGCGTTTAATAGAAAGAAAGTCTTTCTTAGAGTGTAGCAGCCTTCGGGGTGAGAGAACTGACTATCTGATGGGATATCAAATGAATGAGAGGCATGGAATCTGAGAGTTCACCAGATCAGTTTGAATTTAGTGGAGTGAGAATGAGCAGTCTTAGATTCATCTAACTTGTACTTACAGATTAGACTTGCTTAGACTATCCCTGTCCCATTCTTCTTTTCAAGGATGAGGCGAAAGTGAGTAATCTCGCACTATATAGCTCGATTGGTCGATCCACCTGCTCTTCGAGGCAAATCGGACCTATCCGGCCAAATTGGTAGTCCTATGTTCATCAACAATGAAACTGACGTCTTGATGAGGGATATCTTACTTACTGCCTTTAGAAAGCCGAAGAGGCAATGAAGCTAAAAACGGGTATTATTTGCTTACACATTTAGAAAGCCCGGGGTTGGCAAATGCCAGGTAAGACAAGTGAAAAGCAGTATGGATTTCCTCTGCTTAGGAGTATATGAGCGAATAGATCACCACCCACGTTGAAAATACTAAAACAGCGTATAATCCGAAGAGAAATGGAATGAAGGGCCACACTCCAAAGATTTAAACAATTGACTTAGCATGGTGGTAGATAAAGCAGCGGGCAGTGGTGCCAGCAATGACGCATTAAAAGAAACTAAGACTAACGTTAAGGCAATTGAGGGTTTTTGTGGATTATTGATGGCGTGTAAATGTAGATACTGATAAAAACGTTGGAAAGCAACAGACGGGATGGCCATGATGCAATTGTTCAAGACATATGTACCTTTGGGCTAGTTACACAACTCCACGACCACTTAGGCAACATTCTCACCGCGGGGGTATCTGATCCGTTGACCCAGTAAAAGCAGTGCTCGAAAAGAGAAAGTCTTTGGAAAACTCAAGATCCATATCCAAATCTAGACTATGAAGTCGGTCGCCCTCCAAGTTACCCGGGACCTGCGTCTCCTGGAAAGAATCATCCACCTGATTGCGTTTTGATGCACTGCTTGAATGTAATTTTGTCGGGCTGTTGTGGTCAGCCTCTGCCAGTGGCTTTCTCACCGAGCGAGACATACCGCTGGCTAGCGGCGGGCTTTTCGTCTTGGGAGCTGCAGCTGCGGGGGTGTTCAAATCATAAGGCAGGTTTGTTGATTTACGATTCCCTCTTGGTCGTTTTGGGGTAGGTCCGTTGAAGTTGGAGGTCATGGATTCAAAGGTCTGTGCGAGCTGTACGTCATCTTCATCATCGCTTATGGTTTGAGGGACCCTTGCGGCTGGAGTGGCGTTGACAGAGGACCTGGTTCGCTGATGTCTTGGAGAGGCGTTTGACTCAGGGGTATTGGCAGAGAAGCCCATCACGCCCATTAGACGGCCGATGTGTTGTTGTGCCTCGGAGAATTCACGGGCCTTGGCCGCACGTTCGTCTCGTAAGGCTTGCACCTAGACTTAACGTTAGAGTGTCCAGGTTTTGCATATATGAGTAGTATTGACTACCTTTCTCTCCAAGTGTTGGATCCGTTTGGCTTTCGATTGGGCATCCCTGGAAGCATCAAGAGCGGCAGCTTGCATAGCTGCATGCAATCGCCGATTTTCTGTCTCATGTTTTGCTATCTGTTTTGAAACATTATAAGTTTCGACCACACATAGGTTTGCTGCATAGACATACCTCGGATGTGGCCCGAGAAGCTTCGGCTTCACGGTCATGTTTCAGTTTTTCAATCTCACTCCGCGACTTTTCCTCGGATTCTTCCAATGTAGAACAGAGCCTCTCAACTTCAATATTCTGTTGTGCAACCTTGAAAAAGTCAGTATAAACTTATCGAATTGATGACAAAAACGATAGCCAAAGTCTTACCGATGTTTCCATGGATCCCAGTTCCTTTCTCAACTCTTCCTCCTGGGCCAGGAGGAGGCTCAATTTATCTTCTTTCTCATCGGCATGAAGTCTGGTTTGTTTCAACTCCTCTGTAACACTAGCAAGTTCTTGCTCCAGAGAGCCAGAGAGCTTGGATAAAGTGGCCTTTTCGCTTGACATTTGATCAAAACTATGGCGCGCCTGCTCATTTTTCATTTGCAATCTGCACATCTCCTCCTGAAGATCTTCCAGTTGATCATCCTTTCCAGTTAAATTTGCGATCATCTCCAATTCCTTAGAGCGAGCCTTTTCCTTTTCGACGAAAAGTGCGTTCTCGGAACTCCGTTGCTGCCGCTGAAGCTCCTCGCGTGCAGACTTGAGCGACCTAGTCAGCTCATCGGTATATGCGTATTGACCTTGAAGGAGTTGTTCAAGTCGTGTGTTTTCGTTGTTAAGTTGAACAAAAGATTCGTGAGAGTTCCTTAACTTAGTTTGAATCTCTGTATTTTTGGCTGTCAGTTGTTCGTTCAACTCTTCATTTTTCCTTCGCAGTTGCTCGTTTTCGCTCGCATATAAGTCCCGCTCTTCCTCGACAGCTCGTAGGGGTCCTTCAACATCGTGACATCGATGCTCGAGGACAAAGCACGTGTCCTCGATCTTTCTCATCAAACTGTCGTGAGAGGCCTGGGCATTCTGCATGAAGAGTTCGGTAACTCCCGAGCGCCAATTGCGGTTTATCTGAGTTGACGAGAAGTCATGCCTGTCGCGCAAGGCAATGGAGCCACGGAAGGCTTTGGGAGTTGTTGTCGAGAAGGCACAGGTGAGGCTCGGCATTGATTGCTCCACTCGTCCCATAAAGGAGTTCATGATAATGTCGCTTCCGTTTTGCGCCGAAGCCCCGTTGTAAAGTCGTAATAGGGATAGAAACAGTCTGTTTTGCTTTGTGGATAGCTCGGACGCACAACATGCTCGACCACTGCATTGGCTTTCGCTTGGCTGTCGGGGAAAGTATTCAACCACTTCCCCAAGCACTTCCCTCAAAGGGAGCATGGAGTTGTTGAGACTGGAGAGCATGATCTCGGCATGTACCTCTTGCACACCAGCCAATACCAAGTGTGCCAAGTGCAGTGTCGCCATCTCTCTAATCCTCGACCATTTACTACCTCTTAAGACATCAAAAGTAAAGGCCAAAAGTTGACGAGTGGCAGCTTCTCCAGATTCCTATTTATGTTAGCTGTCAAAGGTTGCTCATGGACAGGAGTGCTTATACTCACAGCTAAAGATTTTGCGAGGCGTGGAATTAGTTGATGGGGTATATTTTCCATGGCCTCTTGGCTATGCTTGGACAAAAGGGCCTTTATTCCAAGTTCCCGCAGCTGGAACGGTAACGAAAGTGCCGGGAGAAGTGTGAGCAAAAAGAAGATTGCCTATTATCAAGTGATTAAAATTTTGACTCGACGCACGATCAGCCATGACTAACCATCGTTTGTGTTTGACCATAAAGACCATCTCTGACAGCCTTCTCGCACAGCTTAGCAATTTTAGGACTATTACCTGCCATCCAAGCCTGTTTCTGCTCAGGCTCAATTGCGTCAGCGATGCAAATAGCCAGCCGGATGCTCTCAGCTGCGTCAGGTGATGCCAGATTGCAACTGGATGAGCAAGCTAGTATAACACGCAAGACGACCAAGTCGAGTGTTTTGAGACCCCGTTTCTGGCCAAAGAAATGCTTGATGTTAAGGAGCCATGGGATATCTGATCCGTGTTGATTTTGAGATGTTGTACTTAGTGCCGTCGCAATCTGCGCAAAGGTTGCTAGACACAGGAGGTTGCCCATATGATCGTCGAGATTGCGCAGTGTCTTGGTGAACTCTAGCTGTAGGTTGGACATGATCTCGGACGGAATGTCATTCAAGATCCTTGGCGAGCCTTTGAGTCCTGAGATGAGTGCGTGGATAGGTGTTACAGTCTCAACACAGGGATTCTCTGCCATCATGCCGACCAGCTTTGTGATGAAGGGGGCAATCCTAGCTGGCGGCACAACACCCGCTGGCAGGGGCGATGAGAATAATGCGATACATGCCGGAAAATACTGAAATAGTTAGCTGATGCCCTCTAGCCAGGGTCTATTAGCTTCGAGGAGTGAATCTCACCTCAGCCCCATTAGTGTCCACGGCCTTTTCTAAAAAGGCATCCAAAATCACCGGTTGTCGCTCGAGCAGCGCATCTCTAAAGGACGATGCAGATGCTAAAACATGTCAGACTCAAGTCCCAACAAGGCTTTTAATGAGCACAAACCGAATGCAGTGATCAGAGGCAGAGCGACGCGTGATCGCGATAAGGCTTCGACCAAAACATCAGCCAACAAGCCAACTTGGCAAGGCTTGCACAATGCCCAGGCGCCAATCGTCGAGGGACTGCTTTGATGCACCAGATCATGGAGGTCCTGGTATTACATTGTTAGCATGTACATGTATACTCCGATGCCAGTCCTGATCGACTTACCTGTAATGAAGGTACGTAAGGTGCGGTGACCAGGCGTTCCACCTCGCACACTATTTGAGCGAGTTGCTCTGCCATTACTTTGAAATTTGCATGTATGTCAAGTGGATTTGGTGCTTAGTACGGGCTTCATCTGACTTCCGAGGTTGATGTTGGTGTTGGGTGTACGAGGTTCTTTGCCCTCTCCGTTGCCCCGTCAACCGTTGACATCTTTATTTTTCTACTTTCCCTCTCGATTGTCGGTTATTTAAATAGCCTTCAAAGAGTATTAGAATATGAAAAGAAAATACAATGTAAATATATTAAGTTCTGCTTGTAACTCGTAGAAATAAGAGACAACCACCGGATTACGGCTACGGCCAGTGCACACAGTAAATCCTGACCGCCCATTTCACCGCCAACATTTTATTGCCTACTCCTTACCTACTACATAGTATGTACTCTGTACATAACATATGAAGTACTAATTACTCTATTTCTATTCTATGCATAGAGAATGGCTATCAAGAATTGACCTTCAACTTCAATATCTGACTTTGATATTGGTGTATTCAGTAGGAACACATACAAACTATTCTGCCAGCAGAATCGGAACTGGCGGTAACTGCCGCAGACCGGAGTTCTCGCAAGTCTCCGTTTCTGTTCCTATTCGCCCTATTCGCCCCCACGCTCGGCTTCTCCACATCTTGGTAATGGCAGGCCAAGAGTGGGATTGTAGTGGTTGTGTATAGTGAAATTATAGTGGATTATGGCATTATAAAGGACCAAACGACGTCTCTCGGCCGAAGTCCGATGTCAAGGTACAAAAGCCCGGTCACATCATGCTGGCATTATCGAATCATTTCTCCTTTTTTAAAAACATAACTCAATTCTAATCTCAACATAATTCTTGTTCACGATGCGACCGGTCCTCCGGGTCTCACGAGCACTACCGGCTCAGGTTTCTCGACCCCAGATATCGCGTACTATTCTGGCTCGCGGTGCTAGATTAAACAGTTCCGATGCCGGAAAAACAGAGAACACAAAAGAGGGCAATTCCTCATCTACAAACGCTCCCCCCTTGCCCTTTTGGACCCCGGTCAAGGCTCTACTTGTCTCCGCATTTGCTGCGGGGTTAGGCTATGGCGTCTCCTCATATACCCAGCCACCGGCACAGGCATCTAAGAAGCCACAGTATGGCTCAGCAAAGGACTTTGAAAAGGTAGATCCCTCAATTGCAGCATAATCTCACACCAGTCCCGGGCCATCCAAACTAACAACTTCGCCCAGGCCATCAACGAGCTAAGAACAAAGCTCGGCAAAGACACAGTCAGCACCGAAGAAGACGAACTTCACCAGCACGGCTTCTCAGAATGGTCCAGCCTAAACGCTGACCGTCTGCCGGTCGCAATCGCATACCCCAAGACCACCCAAGAAGTCTCCGAGATCGCCAAGGTATGCAACAAATACCGAATGCCCATGATTCCCTACTCAGGAGGATCGAGTCTGGAAGCCAATTTCTCCGCCCCGCACGGCGGCATGACAATCGACTTTGCGTTCATGAACAAAGTCCTAGAAATCCACCCAGACGACATGGACATCGTTGTGCAGCCCTCCATCCAGTGGATGGATCTGAATGAGCAGATTAAGGAAACAGGCATGTTCTTCCCCGTCGACCCAGGCCCATCCGCCATGATCGGCGGTATGGTCGGCACAAACTGCAGTGGTACCAATGCCGTCCGCTACGGTACCATGAAGGACTGGGTGATTAACCTCACGGTCGTCTTGGCTGATGGCCGCATCATCAAAACCCGCAGACGTCCCCGCAAGACTTCCGCCGGTTACAACCTCACGGGCATGTTTGTTGGCTCAGAGGGTACGCTCGGTATCGTCACTGAGGCTACGTTGAAGCTCGCCCCGCTCCCTGAACAGACTCGCGTTGGCGTCGTTGCGTTCCCGACTATCCGTGATGCGGCCTCGACCGCTATGCAGGTCATTAAGAAGGGTGTCTCTGTGCAGTGCATGGAGATCATGGATGATGTTCAAATGGACGTTATTAATCGCGCGGGAGGAACTGGCCGTGAATGGAAGGTCTCTCCTACGCTGTTCTTCAAGTTCTCTGGAACTGTCGCCGGTGTCGCAGATAGTATCGATCTGACGACGAAGCTCGCTCAGAGTAACAATGCGCAGTCTTTTGAATTTGCTCGCGATGACCGTGAAGCGCATGATCTGTGGTCGGCGCGAAAGCAGTCACTGTGGAGTATGCTGGCGTTGCGCAAGGAGGGGTCGGAGGTCTGGTCGACTGATGTGGCTGTTCCCATTTCTCGACTACCTGATATCATTGGTATGGCCTCCTGAAGACTTCTTTGTTACATATGTACTAACTTCTACTAGAAACCTCTAAGAAAGAATTGGTCGAGCTAGGACTTTTCGCCAGTATCCTTGGCCACATTGGCGATGGAAACTTCCATGCTAGCATTATGTATGACCGCACCAACCCCGCTGAGCGGGAGCGTGTCGAGAAAGTAGTGTACGATATGGTTGATCGTGGGTTGGAAATGGAGGGCTCATGCACAGTAAGTCGTTCCTCTTGGAGATACCAAAATATCAGCTAATTCAGTACTACAGGGCGAGCACGGCATTGGACTGGGCAAGAAAGGATCTTTGAAGAAGGAAGTTGGACCGGATACAGTTAATGTCATGCGCAGTATCAAGCGTTCACTGGATCCGAACTGGCTGCTGAACCCTGGCAAGATCTTCGACTACGACGACGAGACTCCCGGCCCGGGACATTGATTTTGATTTAGCATTTAGCATTTTATATATCATAGAAGATTAAACCTTTAGGCTTTCTAGTGAAATGGTGCGAATACTTGAATTTTAAAGACGTTTGCTACGCATAGACGAATAAGCACCCCGTGTCCAGGTCTAGATGGTATACCGAACTTTCCCCTGTCCGTAACAAGAAATAATACGTCGGTCCAGGGAGCAGAGAGTGAGGGTCTGAGCGGGAATAACATCCAGCTTGGAATAGTCCACTTGGACTCTTGACTTAATCATGTACGGTGATATGATATTCGAATTCAGTTATGCCTTCACGCTCTTGCTGATTCCCGGATAATAAATCCGGTCGTGAGTCCTGATTGGATAGGTCATGACGGCCCCGTTTTTCAGATCGCTTCCTAGACTGCCCAGGTGGTACGCGTATCACAGTCAAAAACTGCGCTAAGGGCGTGCATTAGTCCTTCTCAATTTATTGTTCTAGCCGTGTTGTTTGTTCAGGGCCCAAAACCTGAAAGTATCGCTCGAAGAGAGCCGCACTCCACTGACAGCCAGTGCCTGAGCTCGGTATGTCTGTAGGTTCAGTGGCTGGTTCCATGGGAGATGAACTGTCGATAGCTGTCGGGGCCGCCGCAGCAGCATTCGCCAACGCCCACATACGGGGAACATGGTCTTGAACTTCTGATTGAATGGTTGGTACCTGAGAACGGCAGTTTGGGGCTATGGGTTCCAGCTCGCCTAGGGAAGAACGGGAAGAACTAATATCTTCTCTCTGGCGCTTTAATGTCCCCAGAGCAAGCTGCTGTGGTGATTCTGTATCCATGGTGTTTGATTCTTCAAATCCGCTGTCATCATCTGGCGAAGCTCCCCATTGTGATGGGTTAATCTGAACCATGTCCCGAGAAAATAGAGCCTTGATGTGGAGCTCTTCAATATTCTTCCAGCGGCGATCACATCGGGCATCACCATCCGTCTTCAAGTGCTCGTATGTCTCATTGATAGCTTGCCACGCCAAATCCAACACCTCCCCTTTCGGCGACAGAGAAAGATTGATGAGCAGACATGTCAAGGCATCCCACTCGATGTGGTTTTGGAAAATCCAGAGCCACTGACTGCCCTTTTCATGGTGTTTCAAAGCCGCAGTGTACTGCAGAATTTCTATGCAAACCTTTCGGAATTTGACATGCGTGAGCATAGACTGGTCTTGTCTCGCCCTTGGTTTGATCACTGCCAGCTCGAGCTTTGCGAGTGTCAGATTGCTGGAGACAGTTGTAAAATAGTCTAGCGCAATACTTTGATCTAAATGCGATAAATATTGCTGTTCCACTTTCCCCTTGAAGAGATCTATCGTAGTGCATTTCTGTGACGCTGATAAAACCGGGTAGCAGTTCTCTTCGCAAAACTGGTCAGAGAAGATAGTTCGGCGAGCAAAATTGCTGATCTCAGATCTTGTGAGGCTCAACACCATCTCTGTTTTCCCGCTGCAGTTTCGAGGTGGGTCCTTCATATCAGGGTCAAGATTTGCATCGGCCACATTGGAAGGGAGTCTTGTGTCGAACCATGACTTCAGAATACGCGGGTTTGTGCCACACTCCTCTGCGATATTGATATCGAGAATATAGATCTGCCACCAGAGTCGACGCCGCATTTCGACTTCAAAGGGTGATATTTCTGAAGCGGATGCATCGCGATGCAGGCCGATCTTGAGGGCAATTCCAATGGCATTCCCAAGAAACTTGCTAATGTCTAGCCCTTTATTGTAATGCCTGCTGCAAGCCTAAAGCAATTGTCAGCTAATATCAGACCTCTGCTTGTTTCAGTGTCACGTACGATGTATATGACAAAGCCTTGCAGGACAGTAATGTCTAATGACTTCAATAGATCGGCTTTTGCGAGAGCGCTTTCAACTCCGGTGCGATATCTTGAAATATTAGCAGGATAACTTATAGCTTGAATCCACATACATACCTATTTAGCACTTCGTGCTTGTCTTCGTCAAGCTCAACCTGACAATCTTCCACTGTCATTGTTGCCACAGCAGCATAACAAATGGCGAATATCAAACACTCCGTGGGTGCTCCAAGGGTCTCTCGAAACTGTGTGTTATTCAATATCTGTCTCTGGACCGTTGGTGCATGTATAATTTTGAGGATTGGCTCCACGTTCTCTAAGTACTTCTGCCATAGGAAAGATACCAGAACCCGGGGAGGGAAACGAGATTCAAGTACGGAAGTCGGGAGAGCTTTGAATAAGGATAAACTTTGATCTAGACTCATTTCATTATGTCTGTAGCTTTCATGAGGCTGCTGCACTGGGTC